GGGGGGTCTTCGACCTGAAAAATCAGGGGTTAGGATTTACACCCGGTCGAAAGAAACCTTGCTATCGCAAGAGTAACTCCAGCTAGCTTCGCTAGCTTTCGTGATTAGCAAGTAAATTCTAGGGGGAAATTGTTTTAATAAACAATTGCAGAGGGGGGGGGGAATTAAATTATCAACTATTAGATCCGGAGGAGCCCACACTTGCTTCGCAAGACAAATTCAAGGCATCCCCTAAAGGGCTACCTTTCGTGATGAATTCCTTTCGCAACATTTCCGCAGTTTGCGTTTTGGCTTTCAGGGGGGTGCATTCTGCGCAAAAACACGTTCGCAAGTTATCGCAAACGGAACTAATCGCGTAAGCTTTTGCGAACTTTCCGGAGCTTTCGCAAGCTTCGGCCAATGAAAAATTCCCACAATCTTTGGCTGACCTTTCGCGACTGCATGCTTTGCTTTCGCGAAGGCATAATACATTAACCCCTCAACTTGGGAATTTTTGGCCGCTGCTCAATTATTGAAATAGATTATATATATATATTTACTTTGGATAGCTTCCGAGTATTCTTTTCAAGCTATGAAATCGACGGTCGTTGCGTCTTTTCCTCTTGAACCCAGTATTCTTGTGGAATCTCAACTAACCAATAATTCAAATCGAAGGTTTGACCAATCTGAAATCTCAACAATCTCCAAAATGCTTGATATCTGCTTAGCGCCTTGGCCCCACAGAATCTCCCAGGCTTCTTTCAACCTACACGGCCTGTAGAAGGCCCACAAAGTGCCGTATTAGAGCACTTCGTCTCTGGAAAATGGCCGCCCGGGCATCACTTGCGGCCACCTGGGAGGCGAAGGCTTTTAGGTGGATAAAATCCAATCCATGACTCCATGATCGACTTCCAAAGATTATCTCCCATCCATCTGACAAGCCAACTGAAATTTGGTAACAAACACAGTGGTCATCTGAACGAACATGGGCGTGCAGGGAGTAGTTAAGTATGGATGGAGCAGTATGACACAGTACGATTGAACATTTTTAGCAGGCGAAGTCTTGCCTTTGTTCCACAAGGCAAAAGCAGCCAAGTCCCCTACGCATGTCATTGATCTTGTCCTGCAACACAGCAAAGGACCAAAGACTTATCTGCAGAACTAGATAATTAGAGGAGCTTCTCGCCAGTCTTCTTTAGCACATGTCTAAGTTTACAACAACTTTTTGCACTGCGCCCTTGATGCTGAAACCAACGACTATCAGTTAGCCGCCAGAAACCAGAAATGAGCAGGCCTCACATGAAGGGCAATCAAAACCATGTGGTTGGCGGTTATAGGCATCGGTGTGTTTGTGTGTTGGAAACACACTCAAGTCTGGTTCGATGAGACAGACCCTTGCAATGTCTGGCCCACCGGGAGCATCTCCTGCGCTGCCTGCACATAAGGCCTAAGCAGATCGCTTGATGCCACCGGCAAAACGACCTACCCAGACAAGATCCAGCATGTGAACATGATACCATCACCATGACCATACCAGAACCCTGATTTCAAAAGGACACAAATAAACAATTGGGAGGTCCTATTACAGTAAGCGTCGTTCACTGTCTTCTTTTTCAGATCAGTTCAATTTGGTGTCCCAATTCTTGATTCAATTGGAACTCATCCAATTCTTTAAGACGCCCACATCTCCACCTTTCGCAGGCCTGAAGTTTCCACATCAAAACCAAAGACTTCACCGTTGCCCAAACCCTGCGACCACCCGGCTGCCATCGGCTGCCCGGCTGAGCAGTTTGAGACACTTTCTGTGAGAGCTGTTTGGCGGCCTGGCGGCCGTCCGGCGCGCAACCGGTGCACAACCGTCCTACTATTGATGTAAAATGCTGGGGTGGGACGCCTTCATCTGAGGCCTCAAGCAAAAACTATATATACATACATTCCATTCCATTGCATTATATCCATACATCCATCCACCCATCCATCCATCCATCCATCCATCCATCAATCTATCCATGCATCCATCCATCCATCCATCCATGCATGCACACGTACATGCGTACAATTCCATTCCATTCCGTTCCATTCCATTCCATTCCACCCCACTCCACTCCACTATATGCTACACTACACGACATTACACTACATACATCCGTACATGCATATATGTACATACGCCAATTTGTATGCATGCCTGTAAGAATGTAACATACTCTAATTGTATGTATGTATGCATACATGTATCTATGTATCTATGTTTCTATGTATCCAGATTGTTTACTTAAACAGCAGCCCGAAATGCCTCATGCAGTTTCTTTACAATGTACTTTGCGTGGCTATGCAACGTATTTATCATCGCTTTGGCAAAGAGCCCCAGTGAAATTTCGACTTCAAAACTGCTCTGTTTATTCCATGGGTTCATGGCCTTTCACTGCATCAATCACCATCTCTGATTCGTCGCGCAGGGTTTGGATTTACGTCCAGAGATCGGTATTGCGATCGGGCATCGCTCCAGGCGCAGCTAACAGCTAACAGATCTTGACATGCATCTCAAGGGGGCGTTCGGGGGGGGGGGGAAGCTGGTTGTATCCGCGTGTGAAACTCTGGTGGAAGTCTAAAACACCATCGTAGGCCTGGGCAATTGACAAACGATTTTCTTTTCGAGATTGGAGTGCGTTTTTGAGCTCAGCGTTGGATTTCACTGCGCTCTACACACAGTCGTGGGGAGAAGCCATCGAGTGACACAAAGCTGACTGTCTCAAGTGAACTTAGGGAGTATCTATAGTCTATATATATACACATACAAATATACAGTTGTGGATAGCACAGCCGCAATCATTTGTTTGACCGCACACGACAGAGTCCTCTGGCCCAACTCGATCCGTGACATTCCACAGAACTCGGTACACTTCTCGATACGTGGTTTCGACGAAGCGAGTTCCCGATTCACAACAGTATAAAGATTGTAAATGCATATGCATATATATATATATATGGGTGTTGATCCAAATAAAGGTATCTGAGGCAGCTACAATCGCCGATCAACCGCGAATCAATCGCGAACCCAACGGTGTCAATCGCGGGAGAGTGCTCTCGTATGCAACACTATGTTGTGCAGAGAATCGTCGAAACATTGCTACATATCACAGTATTTAGAGACATGGCGTGAGCCACAGGGCCTACTCCGGCGGGTTTAACAATCGCGGCACAATCGCGGATCAATCGCGAACCAATCGCGGATTTCGTCGACATGTTTTTGAGAATTGAATTGATCTGGGCTGGTAGACTTTGAACTTTGTTGTTCTGATTCTTTCTTTGCTATTGGCTATCACTATTCAACACAGTGTCTAGGCAGACCCGAATACAGTGTAAGGCTGAACTGTAACATGATGATCATGCCATATAATATTGATTTCTCCTCTTAAAATGGTCGATTCTGATACTACAAATGTTTGTCTCAATCGCGAACCAATCGCCGATCAACCGCGATGCAGAGCTTTACAATCGCAGATGCTGAGATACACATGCCCTGTCATAATTCTTAGATTTGCATTTACGATCGGCTCCCATATATATATATATATACATGTCAATCACTGGGATAGAAGCAACACGTTCCAAACACAAGAAACAAACCTCCAGGAAGCACTAAAGTCCAACTTCAAACCCGAAAGGTACATATACTCGGAGTCGTTTCAACTGGCATGAGCGCTCATGACCGGGCCCCAGCTCAAAATGTATATTGCAAAAAGCTAACCAAAGCAATTAATAGTATTGGCCTCCAACCCAGTAGCGTATATTATAACAAGACACAGGATGTGAAAAATCAAAGAAACTCTGGCACTTCCGCGTCCCCAATCTGGTGGGCGAGGCCGGGGTCCCATGATCCACGATCAGTTTCCTGCGCGAAGGAAGTCCTACCTGCAACTATTGGTTTTTGGTCCAACTTATTGGAAGCGATGGCCTCCAACCTACAGTAATAGCGATGGAGCCTATTAACAAAGATTCTTTGTAGTGGCTTGATTCATCACATTCTAAAACCCCACCCACGTTAGTCTTCAGTTTCCTTCACCTCTCAAGCATGCGCTCACACGTGAGAAAGATCTAAACCCTGCAGAATGCAGTCCATCTGCTGCACTCCTTTGGGACATCAGTCAGTTTTTCGCCATGCCATGCCCCTGAAAAACCCAAAAACAGCTTTGCGAAGTGAGACGTCTGAGACCCACCCGACTCCGACTCGGTGGCTGGTCTCCCGGTATCCCCCAGGCAGGGGCGGAGGCTCTCGGCGTTGTAGGCGCCGATGCCTGACAGAGTTCTGAGTCCGAAACGATCCGAAATGGATGGAGGAGTCTGAGTGGGTCCCAAAAATACAAGGTGAAATGGAGATGAGCAAGGAACAGCAATGGCCTCCAACCTAGTAGCAATGGCCTCCCACCTAACAGAAATCAAAGGAATAAAGACTTGAGCTGGATTGGGAATGGCAGTGCCATCCAATTGTCTTTCTTGCTGCCCTCGACCAATTATCATGAAGGAGATAGGAATTAGCCTTGCGTTAGGACTGTCAACGAAAGAAAGTGCCAGGATACCTGTGCCCACCAAGAAGTAGAATATCGCGCTCAGCATGATTGATGAACAGCCTTGGTCAGTTGAACGACAAAGAGATCGCTGACTTGTTTTCCAGCTGGTTAGGTGCCATGCAGTGAGATATCCGTGCTCACATCTGTTTATTGTCCAAAGAAGCATCCAAACTTCAGTCACAAGCCAACTTGATCACCCCATTCGAAGATACTGCAACATGAGGGACCTCAAATTTCGAACTTAACCTACTCAACCAAACTACCATTGTAGCAAAATGTATATAGCAAGCGTTGAAAGCTCTCTCCGAGGTGACCACGTAGGTCGCCAGGAAGAGGGATGCCGCAGGATGGACACTTGAGCAAAAGGGGACGAGTTTCATGACGAACACATCTAAATAACTAAATGATATTAAATGTATAGAAAAACTGCTTGTTTGCAGGGGGGAGGCCGCTACACAAAGAGGTATAGGCTACTAATTAGCTCCACTAGGTACTGGACGCTACTAGCTACTGGCCGCACTAATCAACTGGTTCCTAGATTCTTAGGAAAACGACTTGGTTTTTAGAAGTTTAGACCTTTGCTGAAGGACTGTAAGTTAGCCTTGCGGCTCCTATTACAAGGTTGTTTGCCATTCACGAAGAATCTTGTCCCTGCACAGGCATCATCTCCAATGTGAGTTGCACATTGGGCCTCATTCAAAAAAGTGCACGGAAAGGCCTCGTCAAGAGACCCCTAACTGGATAGTTAAACACTCTCTGGTCGTTATCCTGTGGACCCTCTCCACACCTTCTTTTTCAGAAGTCTCTTCTCTCTGTGCGGTTTTTCTCGCCCGCCTTTTTCGACGTCTCTCGGACGACGTTGTCCAGACTGTACAGTGGACAGGATCTATGACGGCATGACACGTTTGCACCTGAGACGGCCCTCCTCAGCACGTGCGAGGAAACTCGATGCACGCATGTTGTAGAAACTGGAGATGGTCAATAAATATGCACCAAATGTCCCAGAAGTTCAGGCTCACAAAATGAAATCAAATCATAACTGTCTGACGAAGGACATAGTTAGGCCCCCGACATTTGCGCTGGCACGTCTCGACCAAGGTGTCAGTCGAACAGCGCCATCAAGCGATTGGTGGTTAAGCCTCGGTGTGGTGGAGTAGGCTTTTGCTCTTAATTATTAATAGCTTCTTGTTACTACTAGTAAGGCACTTGTTACTACTAGCGTGGCACTTGTTACTACTAGTAGGTTTACGCAACGGAGTTTTGCCTCTCAGCTTGTTTGAGGATGTTTGAGGCCGCCTGAGGCACCTGTTTACCACCTCCCGACTCCCGACACCCTGGTTACCCCTTCTGGAACCTCAAAGGCCACTGGAGTGACTCAAATCTGGAAGTTTTACCATCGAGCCGCAGTGTTGAAACTGCTCAGTGGCTTCGAGGACACCCATTGTAAATATTGTAAGGTGTCACAAGTGAAACGTCATAAGTAAAGCAATAACGAAGGTGATACCGGGTGGCGTGCTGTACACAATCAGGCCAAAACATAGTACGCGTGCTATGATGAAGGATCTCGGTATTGCGGACCCAGATAGGCCCAGCAACCCCCATTCCTCCAGAAATACACAGGTCGTGCCACCCACCTGCACACATCCGTGAGATCCCATGGCAGAACATCGCAGAACTAAGAATGAGGAAATATAGCTCAAACCCTTGGTTTTTAGACCGTCTTGAGGGACACAAGTCACAGCTTACTTGGCATCCCCTAGAATTGAGTCAATTGGACCTTCATGTGCATACCCATAATTTGGACAATTGATTTAAGTGGCAAATCGTGGCTCAGACCGACCCTCGTTGAGCATGTCACATATCTTGACCTCAAAGACTTCCCACTGTCAACTTTCTGTAGCGCAACCCTCCATGGCATCCAGGCTCTCGTCCTCTGCACAATACTCTGGCTCTGGGGGTGGCCTCGGCACTCACAGCGGGACCAAGATCATCGGCTTGGGCCAAGTCGGTCACCTACCCTCCACGGGACTCCACAGGGACTTCACGGGCCAAGGAGATCAAGAAATTGGTGACCATTTGGAAGGAAATCTCACGAAATCGGATTTGTCCTACCTCTTTGCTTGGCATTCTAGGCCACCTACAGGCACCGGATGACTGTGCATTACAACGCATGTGCCTTCAGCTGCTCGGCACGTTGAGACAAGCTTCCGCAAGTCGTCATGCAAAGAACTCTGTAGAGGCAACTGGATTGCATGAACCGTGATGTCCCCATGGACACAACCACCACATCTGTGCCTCTGTGTACCTCATCAAATCTTGTTAATCTACAGCCCTTCATTAACGGAAGCATGAACACATTCACATTCACATGCCCTAAATCTGTTATCTTGCTGCAAAACTCAAACATAAGTCAGAAGTCTTCTTCACCATAAGTTCAGCTATTTTGCAAACGCTCTTGGATGCTAGAACATGCTAGAACTCAGTCGTCGAACATATAGGTCCGCCAGGCGTCACAACAAACTGGCAGTCAAGTGGCATTCCGCCCAAGTCGGCCATGTCATCCTCCTCCTGGGATTCACAGTGGCCATGTCAGACCCTTCAAAGACAGGACTGAAATGAAATGATTGTATGTGCATGCATGTGCTGCGAGGTCAAACAACCTCCCCTCATCTTCTCAATGCACTGGATACAAAAGAGCCACCAAGTGGTGGTGTGCGATAGTTTGACTGTGAGGTGCAAGGTTGGTTGGCCTAGGCTGTCCCTTCTGAAAGTTGAAACTCGCAAACAGCTTCGACAACGAGCCTGTTGTTAATTTGGGGGCAACTATGCGAGGTGTTCCTCTACAATTCGGAATTTTGGCTACAAGTTTCTTAAGTCACCCCCCACTTTTCGGTACGGCAAAGCACCTCCGGCATGGCAGGATCTGGTTCAGGCTCGTCACCTTCATTCGACCACACAAAGCTTGACTCACCCGATTCTCAAGCTTTCAGAGGTAAGTGACCTGCATCCACGTCACAAAACTATTTAATTTGCATTGGCTTGCCACAAACAACGCTCTGACTCTGGGCAATGTCGTCAGAGATTCGCCAGAATCCTGCTGCATAGTGCAATGTGATAACATCGCAGCCCAACTTCTGCTATGTGATAACCTCTCTGACGGAGTCCCATCGTCATGTCCTCATGATTTGTTTTAAGGACACTATTGGGTTGGGAGGCCATCGCTATTGTTTTGATATCCACATGAATTACAGTATAGCAGATCAACGCGGACGCCTGGTTGTGGAGATGGCGGCGGCTTGTAGTGCTTCGAGGTGTCAATCCTAGGACAGCGGGCGAGGAAAGCGGTTTCAAACATCCAAGGAAATACCACCCTCTGAGGTTCAAATGAGCCGTCCAAAAGGGTACTTGTCCGAAAGATCTTGTGAAATGACTGAGTGCCCACGCTTCCCATGCAGGCGCTCAAAGGTCTCCTATATGCTCATGGGCTGATCCAAGCAATGTGTTCATCCACAAGCGAAAGGAACTTGGGATTTCAAGAAAAATATGAAAACATTGACATCTCCTTTGTGAGGCGCTTGGCGTTCACCGTCAAGGCCTGACCCCACCATTCAGGTTGGTCTGAAGATGTCTGAAGTGAAACAAAAGCCTGACGAAAAAACCGTGTTGTCAGGGCTTTCAGGGAGGGGGCTAGCTTCAGGCTGAGACCGTCTGAGACCGTCTGAGGTCTGGGTATATCCGTTCATTCAATGTCAGCAGCTTATGGTTGTCTGCTGCTTTGAAGAAACTGGACAACGTTTTATCAGTGCTGTTCGAGATCAAATGAGTCCTGGTATCATCCCAGTCAGACCCAGGCTATGACCATACCGGTGCACGCAAAAGCGTCCGAGAGCACCATGTTTGAGCAAGTCATCCAAGAAACACCATCTAATGTTCACTAGGTTCCAAAACACGCTAGCGAATCTCATACTCTGCTCGGCCTCCTCCACTAAATGTGGATTCCTCTTCATCTCCTTCTGGTATTTCGTCTTGATCTGGCCCTGGGGCACGGATTAACATCCAAAAGAGTGCTGGGATTCATGTCTTTTGGGAGAACTGATTCAGGAGATTCAGGAGGCCACTTTTTTATGTCCGATCCACTCCTTGGTCATGGCAGTCATCGCTGGTTTTGATTGGTTTGGGTGGTTGCTAACACAGTCCACCTCTACGGCCTCTGAAGCATACACACTAGGAGCCGTTGTAGCCCATTGAACATTTTGGATGCTGAGTGTAGCGTGTAAAGTGTGTTGGAACCTGCAGCGACAGTGAAACAATGATCTCGCTGATACTGTGCTTAGTGCAACTTTTGGTTCCTAAACTGTTTAAACCCTGCAGAAAAAACACATTGATCCTCTTAGCATCCGCAATCTAGAAAATTCGAAGGCCTCCACAACTCGCTGGGAGTATCTTCCAATCTTTCAGCAAAATCCGGGCAAATGCTGAGAGCCCTGGCAGCACTCTTGTTCCGGAAGAAGGTCTGCACCTTGTTTTGACTGGCATGTTTGTTATGTGGGTCTTCAGTTTCCATGAGTCATAGCGAGGCCTTCTGCACAGAACTTTAGCATTCAAACAGGTGGCCAAAAGTTGTTTATGACATCTGTGAGATCAAATAAGAACATCTGTTTTCATTCGCCGCTGGAAGGCCACCCCGCTAGAAAGAGGTCTGTGCCATACAAGGAGAGTGCCTAGCACCAGGACCGCGAAACCGAACAGTCCTTATGTGTCCTTATTGGTCCGTCAACAGTGGAGAACTTCGAAAGCCAGGAACGTGATCGTGAAGTGTGCTGAAGAGGTCCTGATTCTGATGGGCCAGCTGATGGACCTCTGCCTGATGGTTTCAGCTGACACGGGTAGATACACATTCTCCGAAGTCAACTTCTGGCGGCAAGCCGTATCAATGTGAACAGCCTTTTCCAAGCGGGGTGTCTAGCCAAACAAATCCTTGGTGGTCGCTTTAAATCGAAGTTTTGAGACGCACATATATACACCACCAGTGTCTTGAATCTTGAAACAAGGCAGTAATTATATACAAAGGTATCAATGGTATCAAGCAGTTGCAAATGGCCCAACAAAGGTTGAGCGATTCAATCAGAGAGCTTGCCAATCCGGTGTAGTTGAAAAGTAAGTTCAGCTTGAGTTTCAGCTTTGAGTTTCACTAAGGCACGTAAGGTTTAGTTCTGACTTTCTCTTTACTCCTGAAAACAGTTGTGGAAGACCCAACAAGTGGCTGAAAGCCGTGAGTCAATCTATTGTGGTAGATTCGGAATGTCAGGTGGTCATTACATATAGATATATACGGGTATACAGAAAAGGTGAGTACAAATATATGTTACTGCGAAAGCGGTCCTTTTCTCGAGCCTGCATACGACCTGCGGTGCACAGTGGTGAGACATGAGTCTGTTTCAAAATCTTACGTACTCGTGGCGGAATTAATCCTGCTCTTTCTCTTTTCTCACTTGCTTCAATCAGTGATAAAAATCACAACTTTCTGCAATTCTTCGTAGAGTTTTCGCAGCTCACTCTGTCACCAACTCTTGTTGTAGAACTCGATACTGTCTTCAAGTTTCAACAACTCTTCTCTTGCCTGCAACGACACTCTCGCCCTCAATGTGTCTATTTTCTCATCAACATCTACTGGTCTCTCTGTTGCTTCTCCTTCTCCAGTTGCTCTCTTTGCTGCGGCATCTGTCATATCAATGTCATGGTCTGGACGTTCTGGTCCTTCAATTTCCACTGGTGGCTCGAATGTTGGAGGAGCTGTGAGCTGCCTCTCATCCATTACAATGGTACTGCGCTCGAATATTCCATTGGAAGTTCAATTCAACTTCTCTTCCATCAGCCAGTAGAACTGCGGCTGTCACGCCACTCAAATTCTCTTCATCTTCTTCTTCTCCTCTCGAGCTTGATGCCCCTGCGCCATCTCCTCTCGTCAAAGGCGGCGGAGTATCAGCTCTGTTTCGTCTCCTCCTTTCTTCTGCGCGATCGACTCCCCATCTCCTCACATTAGCTTCATGTATCATGAGTCTTTCTGCCATCCTTGCTTGTCCACATTTTTGATTGCCCTTCTCGAGAGACTTCATGCGTCTATATATCTTCCTCTGATATCAACTTCTTCTCGTTCCACATAGCCATTCTGTTTCACTATGGCTCTGTCCTTTACTGAACTCAATCCTAAGATCTGAAATTCAAAGCAAGCTCATTTCCTTCCTTCTTGTACTGCTTCCAGATCAGGAACACGCCACATAGAACCACTGCCATTGCAAAAAGGATGTTCTCCTCCTGCAATGTCACTTCAGTTCTTTCCGCCTGCGCCACTGACCCAAGGCCGGTTGCATTTCTTTCTCCTCAACTTCCTGTCTTTCCTTCTCTGCGACTCTGTTGCCATCTCCATCAAGCGCGGTTTGACAACACATCCGTTCACCACATGTACAGATGAAGATGTAGACTTCCCGTGTCCTTTGCGTCCTCTCCAATCTGCATCAGTGAACGTCTCTAGCAACCATTTCTGAGTTGATAGTACGCGCATACCACGACCTCTTGTTGGAAATGAAATCTTCACACGCTGACCTTCTTTTGACTTAAGGTAGCCAACCAGCTTCTTCATTCTGCTCTTGCTCGTTGCTGTTGGCTTCGACATAGAGCACCCAAGTTCTTTGGTCGCGAAGCTCAAAACCAACCTTTCCTGTGACAAGTAAACGCAACCGCCTACCAAAGATCGGTATAGCGCTACTTCGTCTGAACTCAAGTCTTCAGATCCATCTGCCTGTTGAATCTCTGGTCCCTGGTCCTGAAGGCGCTTTCTGCTTCCTAGCTTGACCATAGAAACCCTCAAAGTTCTCGATCATGTCACTGGCATATCGTCCTGGCATGATGTATAAGCCGTCATCCCCAACGTGCGCTTATAAGGAATTGGAACTCATCTCCTGGTGATTTCATCTCGCTCGCTGAAATCGAACTTCTCTCTCAACTGTTCGATGAAGTGTTGAGCTGCCTCCTCCTGTCCACAATACACGGTGTCGTCGGCATGAATCAGCACAAAGACTTGATCTGCGCTCTCCCTGCAGAATTCACAAATCCAATACTCTCTAGAAACTCAACTAAACGGTTGAACCATGCCTGAGCTCCTTGTCATTGCTTTATTTTTCGAAACCTTCCTAGGTTTGTCGTCACCTGTAATTCTTTCTTCTGATCCACTTGTTGGAACGCATCTGTGATATCTAAGCTTCCTCTGTCTAATCCTCTGTCCATTAGAAACATCACTGGAAGTGCATGGGTGCTCGAAGTAAGCAAATGTATATCATCCCTTTTGGTGTTGGCAAACTCTCTTGCCACAAGGCATCCTCTTCGAAGCCACTGATTCTGCTCTTTACCGCGCTTGAAAATCTCCTCGTTTTGATCAGTCGACACTGGATCTTCTCCAAGCGCTCTTGAATCACCTGAATCCGCAAAGAGCTTGACGACCTTTCTTCTATTCTGCGCCTCTTGGAGCTGGCTCTGACATGACTGCACCTTCAGGCGCCGGTGTCTTTTTCGAAGCTTTCTCCCTGGAAGATCCTCGAAGAGCACATTTCTAACCTTTCCACAGGCTTGTCTTCTGCTGCAATTTCTGGTGTTCTTGGTTGCCCCGGTTGCGGTTCAGCGTGGACAGGAGCTGCTGGCGCTGGTGCTCCTGGATCAATGAGAAGTTCTCTACCAAATTCTTCTGCAACTTCCTGAATTTCTTTCATAGTTTCTCCACTTCTTCCGCATCGATGTCACGATATCCGCGCGTAAAGGCCTCCAAAGGTGGCATTGGTCAATTTCTCAGTGCTTGGGCTCCAACTGCCCTCTGTTTGTAGGCGCTATGTGTCCTCCAAGGTTCGTCTGGAATTCCCACGACGCTGAGGAAAATCCAATGTAGTAAGCAAGAAATCTGGTCCATGGTCCATCTCGCGCTTTGTGTAAGCATGATCCTTTCACCATCTGACACTATCCAAGAATCTTGTCCATCGGTTTTGCCCAAGAAGATAGTTCTTTTCCACTTTGGATCTCCTTCAGTAGGCGGATTTAGAGCTTGTGACCTCACATAGGCGTAGACTGGTAAGGAACGATGCTTGAGCCAATTCCAAAGCTGTCACTCCACGATAGGCTTGATATCTGTTCATGACATGACCAGAATGGGTGATTGCCATTCAGCCTCGCTTGAATTCTTGACACCTATCACGAATACGGGAGGTGAGAATTCTTATCTCAATCCAAGCGCATGTCGTCTCCATAGAAAGCTCCTTCGCGGTGACCGAGGTGTTGACAAAACGTCATGACTTCCTTAGCTGCAAAGTTGATTTGAGCTCTACTCTGCTGTCAATGGAGTTGCCGCTACACTTCCTGTTTGTGACATGTCACGATCATCCACATTGCTGACTTTACTTCCTTCAATCCTCTTTTCCACCACGTTCGCCTTTCTCTTCTGCTTCCTCTCCTTCTTCTTCTTCTTTTAGCTGGTACAGTGGCTTGTCTTCGCGCTTCTCATGACGTTTCTTTCCTTGCATTGGCAGCTACCTCTGCAGCTGCCTATTCTCTGCAGCTGCAAACGCCCAAAAAACTTGCAAGCTGCTCGAAGTTCGCGAAGTGGAATATTAAATGTCAAAGTGATGCCATTCGCCTCAGCTTTGTCCGGGCTGCCCAGGACCAATTTACCCTCTTGAATTCCAGGGTCTTGCTCATACATCTGACAACGTTCCATCTCCCCCTTTGCCTGTTCTTCTTCGCGCTCTGCAGCTGGAATTCCGAAGATCTTCTGGTCTCACTCACCTGCTGACAAAATCGTCAACACTAAGGCTCTCTCCTTCAAGCCTTCCACTTCCTCTTCTTGCTCCATCATCAGGTTCAGAGGCATTGCCATCTGAACCAACTTCCACTTGGCGTGTTCCTTGACGAAGGTATAGTTCTGTCCCAGGCCATCTCTTGATCAATACCACTCACCCCAAAAGGCGTCTGATGATTATAGTGGATAGGTGAATCCCAGTCCACTTACTTCCATACTTCTTCCATCCTGCCTGTGACTTCACTATCTCCTCAAGCTCGTTTCCAAGCTTGACTTCCACTGCATCTAGGCCTTTCGCGAAACATGGTAACGCTTCCACTTTGCGAATCTTTGCCTGCGCAATCAGGCTCTTACGCTGCACCCCCAAGGGAATCTTGACCTGTGGCCCAAAGCAAAGAGTCTTCTCCTGGCCATCTATCCCCATCCAGCTTCTAACAATCTCCCGAACGACTAAATAGGTTGCCAAACTTCGTCAGGAAAGTCGGCCCTCTCATTCACTTGTACTTCACGGCCTTCTTCTGTTTGCATGATGAAGCACACATCTTCAATCCTTTCACTTAAATTTCGCGTCTTGAGCGTCATGAAGGTGAGCACGCCGCTTGGTCATCTGCACTAGAATCTGGCCTGCCCTGGCCACGCCACTGTCTTCATCTAACTCTCTCAAATCAACCACGAAAGCATCCAGCGAGGTTGTGAAACACTCTCCAAAGAGGTTTGGAAACTCTCTTGACGCTGGCTCTCTTGGTAGACAAAGCTGTTGCAGCACTGGCGTCATCCTGTACTGCATTGCTGGTTCTACCCCAGTTGACGATGCGGAGGACTGTGGATTCTTAGCTACCTGTCGAACTCTCTGGCATTTTTTCCCACATGGCCCGGCTTGCCACACGCGTAACATACTTTGCCTTTGCCTTTGTCATCTTTCCAGGAAGATTGCTTCTCCCTTTTCCTTTGCCCCAGCCTTCTTTGTTCCCATAGCCCTTTTTACCTCCATCTCCTTTGCCTTTGCCTCCTTTGTTGTCCTTTCCTTTACCTTTTGACTTACCGTCTCTCGTCTTTCCCTTGCCTTTCTTTCCTTTGCCCTGAACTCGCTCTATGTCCATGGGCGCCAAACCTTTGTCATCCGAAGTCAACATCATAGCTTGGCTCCATTTCAATGTTGCTTTGCCATACCTCTCAAAGTGACGTAGCTTGTGGATTCTGAAACCTGCAGCTGTAGCCACGTTTGAATATTCCCTGAAAGACATGTCATCAACGCAGCAAATTTGATCTCTTCAGCCAACGTCGCTCCAGTCTTCTCACACTCTCGAAAAGCATCGTCTAATTTAACCAGTTGCGACATCATATTCTTCTGCATGTCAAATGAAGACCAGCCGAGGATGGCATTAGTATGCCGAGGGATCTATTCCGGCTCGCCGACTCCAAGGAACTCAAAAGTTGCCTGCAGGCTTCGAATCCATTGCTTTCTGCAACTGGTCTCAATAACAGCAAGGGTCGATTCTTCAATAGTCCCGCCAAAAGGCTATACAGGAATGAACTGCGGCTTTTCTCCGTGTCTCCCATCAAACAGCTGTCAACTTCTGTCGATGGATTCTTTCTCAAAGAAATCAAAGTCTGCCAGGTACTCGATGTCAAAGGATGCTATGCTAAGTGTTGTTCCAATGACCATGCAAAATCACGCTGCGTCGACAACTCTTCCTCCCGACTCTTAGGGTCAAATACTCCAGGCTTGGGCAATGTTTGTACCAACTCTTTTTATCATGTCTTTGGCTCTTTAGCTCTTCCAAAGCTTGAGCTGCTACTGTGGCTGGTGTGGGCGCAGCTTCCGTCGCCAACATCATTCTCCTCGCCAATTCTGATCCATCTATTTGCTGGCCCACGGCTCCACTAGGGCTTCCGGCTGGGCTCATCACCGGGGAACCCTCCGCACCAGCCATGGCATCGAAATGAGCCTCACCCTTGCGAAATCCTTGGCTGCGTAATAGGCGAAAGCGGACCTTTTCTCGAACCTGAATATGACCTGCGGTGCACAGTGGTGAGACATGAGTCTGTTTCAAACTCTTACGTAGTTATATAAAGGTGTTGATGAGAACAAAGCCTTTGTCAAAGAGTTCCCCAAAGGCCCTTCCGAGCGACCGCCGCAGCGGACATGTGGCCTCGTAGAAGAGCTCGGTCTCACTCGAGGTCCACTTGCAGCTGGGCCTTGGAGCATTTGAGCCAGTTTGAGCCCAACTTCGGTGACAGGCCCACTGCTATGCGGCTGGAGGCCATCCATCGCTATTAGAGTGGAGGCCATCGCTACTAGGTTGGAGGCCATCGCTATTAGGGGGGATGGTCCGATGGACGAAATCCGGCACTGGGATACGGGAACCCACCATATTCAGCACGGGAGATCTGCCAACACTAGGAATGTTCAAAATATGGGTGCCGAGCACGAGCACGTGAAGGAGATCTTCTTAAACCAACACGCTAACCTGGTAGTGATCGCCACAAAACATCAGCCTCTCGCTTTGCAAATCTGGGTCACTGGCGTTTTCTTGAAAGCACCTGCGTACTGACCTCAGCATTCAAGCCTCCCTGGAGCTGGTGCACCTACTTCGCTCATGGTGCGAACTGATCTTTTTTGAGGTTTGTAATGTCGCTCTTTTTTGAGTGTGCGATGATGTGAAGTGGTTCTAGTGTGCAACTACCAGAATTGCTTGTCAACATTCAGACGTATCAGACTTGAGGCTTCTGCAGCGCATTCGATTGACAATAGCAGCGAAGACTGTCGCTTGCCAGATGGCCAGATGGTGAATGAATGAATGAAATGCTATGCCACGCCATGATCTGCCACCTGCCTTTTTGCATCCACTTAACCCCTTCAAGCATAAACCCTCCATTTGAGATCCAAGCTTACAGCCTCTTGCACTGTGGCAGAGGCCTGCAGTCCCAGACATGGCCAATGGAGCGAACGGAATGGCTGGAATTCAATAAGGGGTTATTCGCAGGTCGCTAGGTTTTGTGGCAGGTGTGCAGCTCGACATGATGCAGTTCATTCAGTTGGGGAAGGCCACTGGGGTTGAGTCGCCTTGGCCCTCATCAAGAGGGATACCTACATTTATATGCAAAAAGCAAGCCAAGCTTGACATAGCCACCACACCAAACCAAGGATAGCAGCCATAACTAGCAGCTATGAAGCAAGCTCTAGTGGCAACGAAACATAATATATACATGTCTACACCACCAACAGTAATTCGAGCAGTGACCATCCAACCCACCCATAAATGTGGAGGACGTCCATCGCACACCTTCTGACAAAGCGCACCCCGAAGCAACTTACTTGAGGAATCGTTTGTCTGAGCCTGACTCCGCCAGACCAGGCCAGACGAGGCTATAGAAACCTATAAAATCTATGACCTGTCAAGATGCCGAACGCTGGGTGTCCGCGGGGCTGCCTCCTCGAAAGGTCCTTGCGCGTTGACATTCTGCGAAAGGCTGGACTGGTTCAACACGATGTTGCCAGACTGCCACGTCGGAGTCGCTCCCAGGATGAAAGTTGAGGTGGAATTCATGATGTGTTTTCCTACCTCCGATACTGAATCAAATGTATCATATATCATATAGTCAATCTTCTTCCGAACAAAGTGAAAAAAGAAGACCCAAAACAAAACACAAAACAGTCAAAGACTTGATATGCCTGGTCAAGGCTGCGATCAATGTATTGTCACGTCTTATGAATCTGGATTCACTAGTTTCTCAGCGCCCGTGGCCGTTTGGGCCAGCAACAAAAACTGTTTGCCTGTGAGTGTCATGAACATCACACACCAAACGCCCTCCAATGCCTCATCCAAGCAAAGTTGTGGCCCGAGGCCTGCTGCCTCACCAAATGGTTGTATTTGGAATATCGTGTTCAATTCAAAACCATTATGTTCTGAATAAAACACTCAATGCAATACAAGAACACTCCCCAACACACATATAGTTACATATACGAATAATATATGTCTATTCTGTCTGTTGTACATACATATTAATATATACACAAGCAGAATTGTAGAATACGCTCTTAAAACAATTATATAAATAATTGAACAGATTTATGAATTATCAAGACGTGTTTTACATGACATGTGTGTACATTTACATATCTATATATATATATGTATATTCATTGCCAACAAAAAAAATCGAACACACAAATGTTGGCATAGTTTGACACAAATATATAATCGCTATTAACTGCATGTCAGATTCATCACATTTGTGCCATATTTTTGACGCATATGTGTGTTTACACCGGGTGCAAATAGGACGGCACAATTAGGCTACCCCCAAAATAGGTATTAGATGGCACAGAGAATGTGGAAGAAAGAGTGCATGCATCGAAGAAACCATTAGCTTCTTCCAAGCGCAACTAGCGAGGCCAACCCATAGGAGCTGAGTCGATTGTGCCAACTACCCATGTGTTCCATGTTTGATTGTTCGAAAAAGAAAAAACATGTAGATGGAAGGCCTGTGCCAGTGCATTCCTGCACTTTCAGCAGTGCCATTCTCCTTGTAAAAGCCTATCATCCCAAAGGAATATGCAAGGACAAGGACATCAAAAGGAAACCGTTTCAAGACCAAGTAGTATCAAATCGACGTAAAATATGGTATGCTTGTCTGTTCATTGTCCTTAAAATCCTATCACTGTCTGTTGATTTGTCCTTCAACATGTTTCACACATATCCGTTTCATTGTCCTTTCAAGTCTCTTGTTTACTTTGTCATTCTCCATTCATGCTCCACTATTTATTTTGAGGACATCATCGTAGCGCTGAAACGGCTTGCCGGCAAAAGGCAAACCTCTGAAACTTCTAGACCGGGCAAGGCCTGGGTCCCTGGGTCAAGGAAAAAACACCCAATGTTTGCGCCACGATGATTGGAATCGATGGCGGAATCCGCGAACACCCCCCAGCGCTTTGGAGTGCCCAAACAGCTGTTTGGATGTCAATAATGATTGCGATTGCGAGGGACTGCTACGCATCCGTGAGTCCTCTAATTAAAGTGTTCATGTACTTCATACCCCTCCTTGCCACTCCTTCAAGCTAACATGGCAACTGTATAAAAGAGAGGAGAGAGTCGGATGTTGTTCTCTGGAGGTGCAAATCAAACTTGCCCAGGGTAACTGTGGTGAAGATCCACATGTTTGAGTACCAAAAACTGACTGGGGAGGTTTCACTGACGGAACATGAAAGGACATGTTAAAGTCTTATGCAAGGATTATTGAAGGGAATGAAAGGAGCATGACAGGGTGTTTAATGAAACATGAACCGGACACGTTATTGACATGAACATTTACGGACTCTGATGGAGGCTTCTTGAAAAAAGAAACACAGCAGAAGGCAGGATTTGGAAAGAATGAATGGCAAGAGTTTCAACAAGAGATGGGATGTTGAAAGGACGATGGCTGGAAAATAAACAGGACTATATAATACTATATATATACAAAAGTGAAGGGATATGGAAAATGATAAGAGAAAAAGAGAGGAACACCAAATCCCATAATGAACCATCTCTGATCTGAATTTGATATGATTCCAAGTTTCACCGTTCTTTGTTCTGAACAACCCGATCTTGTCCTCGTGATGTTCCTTCAAAACTATTATCCAGGAAAATGTCCAGCTGTCGAAAATATACCAGCAAACAATAACGTTCTATCTCTCGCTTTGGAAATACAAAAAAAATGGGTTGCAAAGCTTTGTGCATCTTTGTGCGTTGCCAAAAAAGGCTCCGAGATTTGACTGGCGCAAGCATGGTAACATTAATATGTTGTATTTGCATGGAACCATGATACCCTTCCCACTGGCACATATAATATTCTAATTGTTGAACACAATGTGCTATCTCTTCGCGAAAAGGTAAAGAGAAAAAATCATCAAAACTCAACATGTTTGAAACTTAATAATTACCAACCTTATTGACTGAACAAAAGCAATATGGATACTTTGAAAGACCGTCGCCACTTCATCTCTTATGCTTTGTGTCGCCAGGAATCGGATGGTCTGCGGTCTCTCCAACCTACTAGCGATGGCCTCCAACCTAATAGCTTTTAGCTACTAAGCTACTAGTAGCTTCTTGTTACTAGTAGTAAGGCACTTGTTACTAGAAGCGATGCACTTGTTACTAATAGCAATGGGCCTCCAACCTAATGAGTTTACGTGTTCTTGCAAGAACTTCCCAATAGCACTGGCCTCCGACCTACTAGCGATGGCGCTTGCTTCATCTGAACGAAGCCCAACACCCACACGCCTGTGGCACAGAGCTGCCAAATGCTGAGGCCTTGTCACATGGTCATTCGCTAAGGTCTTCAAAGCGAACAGGCGGCTAAAGATGATGGGAATCTGCCCCCAAGTCGTTCGAGAAGCTTGGGAGCAAAAACGACCTACCAGTAGTGCCAGCTGCCCAGAATAGCACAGCAGGTATCAGCAGACAGCGAGTTTGCACAGCGAGGTTGCGCATCCTTTTCTGTGCTGCGGGGTGTGCCTGGTTCTTATGTTCCGGCTCAGCCGATCACTCGGATCCATGATGTGTAAGAGGAGCTCTCTTCTTTGTTACTAGTAGCTTCTTGTTACCAGTAGCGATGGCCTCCAACCTAATAGCGTCCTAAATGATGTGGAACAGGAGCTCTCTTTCTTGGTTTTGCAATGAAAATCCAAAACATCCCACATCATCATGGATCCTTCCAGTTGCCGTCAGGCCTGCGGGCTGGGTGTTTGAGGGGAACAGGTAGCAGGGTCTCGGCATCTTGGTTCTTCTGATGCACTAAATCTGCAGTTCTAGTGAGTCCATAAATTCCTTTCAAGTTCTTCAAGACCATCGCTGCCTGCCCTCCGACGAGCGGGTGTTCCTTACGACTACCACGGTCGGAAAATAGAAGGCCATCGAAAGCTCACCCCATGGAGACAGTGGCACATCAAGCAACAAAGCCTCTTCTATGCCAGATGGTCAAAAGCCTCTAGAAAGTGAGACATGAACAACGTTCCGAAGGAGACGAGAAACCAGCAACCTAACTAAGAATGGCAATGCTTGCTGAACCAGATTGAAGCATTCGCCGTTATATCATAGCCATGGGTTAGATGCCAGCAATTGATCAATTGATTAGATTACTAGATGATAATGTGTTATCAGTTTTGTCTGCTGGCTGTGGTGTTGATACTTTCAACATGGTATGCTGTGTCGGGTGCTCGCCTGCACACATATTCATATGTATGTATATGTATATATGAATCAATATATATATATACAGTATGTTATTGTTGTTTTGATACTAGTAGACCTGTGTGCAACTGTCACCATGCCCAGGTTTCGCAAATTTCGCAGGCTACAACACGTCGACAAGGCCTAACCTGTGGCCATCCGAGGTCGTCCTGCCGACCAAAAGGCAGGGCACTTCACGTGCGTTTTTGCACAGCCTACCATTCCGACGACAAGAACGGGCCCAGCTGGGAAAGCACCGGCACCTTCCAAGCGAGAAAAGACAAATTCATGAACAGTTCTTCTTGTGCTCCCTCTTGTCTTTCTAGAAATGTTCCCGAAACATCCCGAAACAATGAAACAAGAGGAAACAAATGCCCGGAAGGAGGGGCACAGAGCGCCCGTTGACCCCGATGCGTCGCAAACGATCCTCGAGGGTCGAGCTCTTCAAACTGCGGGCTTTTGACCGCCCGCGTGATTCGAATCTTTTCTGGAAGTGCAAACAGAGCTGGCTTAGATTGACTCTGGCATTGTCCTCAGCCTAATCGTGCCTTACCTTAAACAGTAAACGTTCTTTGCAAAATTCTAGGTGTCCAAAGCTGCTCTGTTCAACACATTCCTTCCAAGGCCAACTTGTCAAACTAGATCACTGATCACTGTTCTTCTCGGCAGACTCCTGCAGAGTGGCCCGAGAAGAATCGAGAAGATCTTGTCTTGCAAGTCTCTCTAAAAGGTTAATGAATGGCGATGCCATTCCCCCTGACCTTGATCTTTGCCAGTGGGTTGATCAATGAACGAACCAACTGGTTCTCTGTCCGATCTAAAGGTCAAACGAAGCTGATTCCACTCCATAGAACATGCCAAAGAATGCTACAGCCATAGGGGAATGCTCAGCCGTATTCTGTATCTTCAAACTCTGTGATCTCCCTCCAATTAATTTCTAACTCGTGGAGATCAAGATGCAACTAATTCGACATGTGTCTCATTGTCTCATATCGAGCATGGCTGCTCTCCAAGCAGCGGCAGCGTGCCCCCAAGCCAGGTGCAAGGGGGCGCAAAGGCGGGTGCGATATAACTTGGCTCGACACTCTCCGACCTGAGACCTGCCAAAGGAAGATGGAAAGTATCAGGCCACAAAGGGCACACTTCTCAGGATTATCTATAGCGTCCGCTGGCATTTCCGTCACATTGTGTAACAGCTGCAAGGCATGATGGAGGTATTTGACTTCCATCAACTGGACTTGAAGAAGCTTATTTAACGTTGCTTGGGTCGGTTCGCGGAAACAATGACCAGCTGATTTTCAAACTTCACAAGTGGGTGTTCCGCAAGGATACAAATACAGTAACTTGAACAGACACACAGAGATTTAACAAAATCATGCTATGAAGAATAAAGTGAACTGAGGTTAGCTTAACTAAAACGAAACGAGATAAGAGGTAGGGAAGACAGTTAAGCTTGAGTGAGAGAGAGGAAGGTGCGGGCCGATTCAATGTCGAAGAGCAGGGGGAGTTGTATCTCAACGGTGCAAAAACATCCTTGCTGGTGTCTCATCTAGATCATGCAATGATACCCCCCACCATGCCTGCCCGTCCCAGCATTCCGCATGTTCATCCTCCACAATACCGTTACATTGCTCAGACTTTCACCACCACGCCGACCACCACTGAGATGTCGTCCATCTTGCCGCCCATGTGCCTTGGAAAAGCTGCCCCCCCTTTGCCCTGACAAAAAGAAGAAAAAGAAGACCCTATCTGCAAACTAGAAAGAGAATCCAAAAAAGATCCGTCCAAACTCACCATGGGAGACTTTTGCCTTCGTGCCAGGGCGCTGCAAACCGGCTTGACGTGCAAGATTGCCAAACGGAGTGCGAGCAGACGTGTCCTGCATATCGATTTTCACTTGCCAAGCTTCCAAACTAGTAGCGATGGCCTCCCACCTAATACCGATGGCCTCCAGCCAACTAGCAATGGACTTCAACCTAATCGCGATGGCCTCTCACCTGATAGCTATGGCCTCCAACCTAATCGCGATGGCCTCCCACCAAATAGTAATGGCCTAATAGCGATGGCCTTCAGCTTAATAGGGATGGCCTCCCACCTAATAGCGATGGCCTCCAGCCTAATAGCGATGGCCTCCAGCCTAATAGAGCTGGCCTCCAGCCAAATAGCGATGGCCTCCAGCCCAATAGCAACAGCTAGTTGCCATGGCCTCCAGCCTAATAGCGATGGCCTCCAGCCTAATAGCGATGGCCTCCAGCCCAATAGCGATGGCCTCCAGCCTAATAGCAATGGCCTCCAGCCTCATAGCCATGGCCTCCAGCCTCGTAGCGATGGCCTCCAGCCAAATAGCGATGGCCTCCAGCCCAATAGCAACAGCTAGTTGCCATGGCCTCCAGCCTAATAGCGATGGCCTCCAGCCTAATAGCGATGGCCTCCAGCAACATAGCGATGGCCTCCAACCTAATAGCGATGGCCTCCCACCTAGTAGCCATGGCCTCCGGCCTAGTAGCCATGGCCTCCGGCCTAGTAGCCATGGCCTCCAGCCTAGTTCCCATGGCCTCCAGCCTAATAGCGATGGCCTCCAGCCCAATAGCGATGGCCTCCAGCCCAATAGCGATGGCCTCCAGCCTCATAGCCATGGCCTCCAGCCTCATAGTGATGGCATGGCCTCCAGACTAATAGCGATGGCCTCCCACCCAGTAGCCATGGCCTCCAGCCTAGTAGCCATGGCCTCCAGCCTAGTAGCCATGGTATTTTACCTACTAGCGATGAGTCTAATAACGATGGCCTCCAGCCTAATAGCGATGGCCTCCCATCTGACCAGAACGGCTCCTCGGAGCGTACCCGAGCGGCTTCAGCGTATGCCTTTGCCAACCTGCCAGGTGAAAATGATGCCATGACAGAATCCAGATTGCTACTAGGAACAAGAAGCTACTAGGGGCTCCTGGCATCGCTACTAGGAGCAAGGACGCTAATAGGGGCTCCTGGCCGTACTACTAGTAACAAGAAGCTACTAGTAAGGGAGAAGGGCATCTGTCTGAAGGGAGAAGCGAAGCTCACTGCGAGTGCTCCATGCACCCCGATCCTGGCCTGGAGGGATCGATGTGCCACGGACCCGCTTTCTCTTGGCTTCCAACAGTGGCCTGGCATGGTGGCATGAAGTGACATGAAGTGACATGAAGCTATTAGTAACAAAGGGCATCGCTACTAGGAGCAAGAATCTACTAGCAGCTCCTGGCATTACTACTAGTAACAAGAAGCTACTAGAAGCAAGGACGCTATTAGGTGGAGGCCATCGCAAGTAGGTTGGAGGCCATCGTTACTAGTAACAAGAAGCTACTAGTAGCATGGGTCCGCCCTTTGAGGCATACAATGGAATTCTAGGTGGATAGGCATGGTTATATAATAGGAACTTACTTTGCTTACTTGATGCCTTGTCGTCTCGAAGTGAGGAAACATGCTTTGGGTAGTCTCAAGCTGAGGCATGCACAAGGAGCCTTTTACTGTAAGTCTTAGGACCTGTCACATTGTGATTCCCGTCCCAAGCCATCCGATTCACCTCCAAAGAGATTTGGGCAAGCTCGCACACCTGCATCGATGTGGGAAGCGTCCAACATGCACTGCGGACGGTAAATTGTTGGCGATCTTCTGAGCCCAAAAAAGAAAAAGGTAGTATATAGGTGACTATTATCCCGTAAACATCATACTCCCCCTATTCACCAATACCCATTTGGTACAAGAGTAGTAAACGTTGTGACGTCATTTGTTTCACTGAAAGAACTTAATGTTGCTCAGATTCACCTCAACAAATCGTTTTCACAGTTTGTCTGAATCCTAACATGAAAATTTGTCAGGCTTTGTACATTGTGTCATGTCGGGCCAATCAATGTAAGTGAGCTTGCACACTAATATCGTACTTTGAATGAATATACGCCGACATATACAGTAATATGTTGATGTTGATTGAAAATGCATTATTAATCATATGATGTTATATAAAATCATCTCATGATAGATCAATACATAGCTATGATTGTTCAGCAAGGCCAACATACGCCCCAAGGCCCAGACGCGCTGACTTGCCG